TATGTTTTGTTATTTCATTTGTTCTTATGTATGCGCAGCAGTATCAAAGTCACCCACCCCTGTAATATTGTTTGGAATGAAAAATAAAATCACAATACAAAAACAAGATTTGTGTCGTTCTATCCATTAATATGGCGGCAGTACCGTGCAAACAAACATGTCCGTTCAACTGACTAGGTAAGATTGTTAACAAATGTATACAAAACGTGCACCACTATGAAAACAAAACACTTGTTATTATATACTGAAAGCGCTTTGCAAGTGTCCCACCGCACTGCCCACGTGTTCACGTGAAAAAAGATGAACAATAAATGACAAGTCTGACCTTCCGGGATAGGAGGAGGGCACGCGACCGATGGTATTGGAGGGGGAGAGTGGGGGGGTAAAGTGAATTACAAAAACCCATAAAAGCGTTTCTACAATGACTAAGTATACAATGGGTATGACATTTTATATAATAACTAAATATTAGGTATACCTTGATAAATAACTATAAATTAAAATCTCAATAAAAATATCCTTTACTCACCCCTATGCGCATATTAAAAACAGTTGTTTGTAAGCCGTATTATAATAACATACTACGAAATAAAAACGATTAGTCTCATTCAAAGATGCGATGAACATTTGTAAACATTTATAATGAACACCAAATATAAATATCATTAATGTTGTTACTTTGAATCGTACTGCGTAGGCCTATGTACAAGTATATATATATATATTTCCTTTCATATATATAAAAATAATCGTCACAGCAAAATTGTCAAAGAGTAATATATGTATTTTTATTATCATTTATTAATCACAAGACAAGAGCAAGTATATTTTGTATCGAAACAAATATATTACGTTCGTCTTTGCGGCATAACATGACAATCAATCACCCAGTACATGAAAAAAAACAACAACAACACTTGTACGTAATAAGCTATGTGTAATAATCGATAAATAACAAAGAGATATAACGATTAAAAATAGATATCAATATAATATGAATAAAAATGTACATATATAAAATATAACAATAAATAATAATAATAATATTAACAATGATACAATAATACAGTAATTTATAACATGTACTAACCTTAAAAATTAAGTCCTTCCAGTGCTTCCTTCGAAATTCAAAAAAATCGTCGGTGAAATGCGTTGTTATAAGTCCTTGCTGTATTTTCATGTTACCGTCACTGTGTCATAACAAACACACAAAAGAGCCTAATTCAAGTTATTCACAATACCACACAAAAATAATGCAAACGGTCTGTATCAGAAGCACTGTACAGCAGGATATGTTGACGCGACCACAGTTGGAATGCAAATGGAGGACTAGAGCTTCCGCGAGAGGTAACACAAACAGTGGGAAGGAAGGATTTAGGGTGGTGGTGATTAACAGACTGTTTTATCGTCATTGATTTTGCAGAAGAAATATATAAGAATTTATAATTTGCACAAGTTTTTAGTTATTTTGGGAGTAATTGAAAGATGAAATGTGAGGCAAAGAAAGAAGAGGAGCATGTCGAGATAAATAGAAGGAATGAAAAAAGGATAAAAAAGAGAGAAGGGGGAATAGGCCGGGTAGCAAGAGCAGCGAGAGATGATGGGGAGGGGAAAGGGGGGGGGGTCTGATTTTGTTATGTCAACATAACAAGACCTCACACTTTCGGTGTGCTGCTAACCTAACCTAATCCTATTTAGAGTAATAAATGCACCTACTATACGTAACAATCGTAATCATCACACACCGTGTATAAAATATACCATAGTATATGTCTATAAACAAGCAAAACCATAAAAATATAGCTGAACATACATATAGAAGAGGAGAGGAGAGGAGAGGAGAGGAGAGGAGAGGAGAGGAGAGGAGAGGAGAGGAGAGGAGAGGAGAGGAGAGGAGAGGAGAGGAGAGGGGAGGGGAGGGGAGGATAGGATAGGAGAGCAAATATTATTGATAACATAAAATACATGTACTAACCTTCACAAGAGATGACCAATTCGAAATTTTTGATACTCGTCCGTCCAGTGAAAATGACCGTTACAAAGGTTTTAAATCATCATCGCAGAGACACTACACACGAAAAATTTCCGCGCCGACATCGAGAATGTAAATGAATAACGCAAGCACTGGAAAGGATTTAGGGTGGGGTTGGTGGTGGTGGTGGTGGTGGTGGTGGTGGTGGTGGTGGTGGTGGTGTGGGTGATGAGTGAGGGTTGAGTGGTGTGTTTGTTTTGGCACGACATCCACTTTTCATATTTTCTGTACCTCAAGCTAACCCAACATATCCTCCTTACTACTTTTGAATAACAAGGAAATGGAAGGCAACGTGCATGATGAGATAAATGGGAGAGAACCAAATGGATAAAAAGGAGAGAAAAGTGAATAGGCATGAGCAGCGAGAGATAACGGGTGGGGAGGAGAAGCGACAATGTTTGCTATGTCAACATAACATGACCTCACACGTGTCGTGTGCATTCATACAGCGAAGTAACAGCTTCTCTT